TCGCTGTTTTCCGGGGTCAACCAGGTTTCTGTGAGGGCGGTTTCTTATCGGCCAGTAACCTTTTGACTTCCAGCATCTTGTTCGAGATGCTGAGACAGTTAGTGGAGATGCACTCTCCAGAGATTTCAGTAGTAGCAGGGTTAGAGGAGAGATCTTTGGGAGGGGCTCTAATTTGGGTACCGGGTTTGTAATAAGTGGGCTGTGGACACGGTCCGGATTGTGGATCATTCTGCGGCGTGATTGCCTCGACCTGTTGAAGAGGTCGGGAGGACGAGTAGGATGGGATACTGGGAGAAAAGGGACGGTTTACGATCCCCNGAGTGTGCGAGGTATCCCCGTTGCCCACTGGGATGCGCGTCATGGAAAATGGAGTATTGTGGTGCTAGTGACCAGGTTGGAGAGAGTGGTACGGGGGGTTGTCTAGTAAACCGTTCAGTTGTGCCATGGCATTAAAAGGCGTCTTGGCTTGGGTGTGGGGCCTTAAAGTCGAAGCTGTAGGAGGCTGCTTAGGTCGCGCCGCGGATGTGATTGAGGCCCTGGGAGATTGTCGTGCCTGATCCCGAGGGCAGATCTGGGAGTAAAAGATATTACTCCTTGTTCAGTTCCAGTTTAAAATCCTTTATAACGAGACATTCAACCATTCGAGCTGGTAATTTTTTCCATGTAGGAATCAATCTACTTGCAAACAAGTGATGTCTGATTGCTAGCCTGCCCCTGGTTCTCTCCAGTGTGAAACAGTGTGCCGGGAGTATATTGGTGGCCCACAAAAAGAACAAGTGCCCAATGGGGGACTGCTCCATGTTTCTGGTAGCTTCGCACACTTCAATCAGGTCCCTCCTCGTCGAACGGCGTTCAAAACAGAACAGGTTCAGGGAATTTAGTCGCTTCGAGTAATTGAATCCTTTTTGACGCCAGAACATCCGGGTTACTATTCGCAGAACGTCTTCGAGAACTTTCATATCCTTCAGAAGATATGGTGCCCAGTGTACGTCGGCCGATTCGCACGTCAGTGACGCGTAGACGAAGCCGATACGAATCCCGAAATAAAACACGATTGATCCGTAATGTTCTACGGTACTGAATTAGCGAAATCATTAGAAATGTACGATAAAGCAAACCTCAAATATGCGGCCAAAAGCATTCAAGCAAGCGAGCCAAATATGATGTCCAGAGAGAGCCAAACAGTCGCTCACGTTCTCTGACCACGCCAAATTCAAATGTGCCGGGCATCGAATTACCAGATAAAGAATAATGCACGGTGTTTGCGATTGAGAAATGTCCATAGAGAAACAACAAACAGATAGAGTTGTGTCACCGTCAATCATCATGGGTTTGCAAGGATTTTCAAAAATTCAACATCACATACACCGGCCGCCAGAATCCTTCCTGCGCTCGTCTGAGTCAGAGGTTTGGCGTAGGTCATCGATTCTTCTCTGCCTATCTACCTACCTAGTCCCTGCTGTCAGTGCTTTTAACTACGAACTGTTCAACCTTCGCCGCACCCGTTGATCTTGACCTCCGACGACTTGCAAGTTCCTTCGTCGAGATCTGCCCTCTGCATCAGCACACTTGCAGCCAGTCGCATGATAAATTGATAGCAGTTGGTCAAATGAATATCATTACAGATAATTTCGATGTTTAAGCAAGGAGGGGAATGTGGGCGATGTAATCAGTGTTCAAGTTTTACAAATGAAATCATGTTCAGCATGCAGGTGATTTTGTGTATGTAAATGGATGAATGTTGTGAGGACATCGGTCACACCTTCAAGGTAATGTCATAAATTGTGTAACAATCTGATAAAAGGACACTCTGTCACGAAATGACATAGAGAGGACGTATGACAAGGACGTGTAAGCACGTGCTCATACAGGTAGGGTGAATATCACTGGGGCGCAATTGGTACAAGGGGCAGATAAGTCAATATAATACGCGGCGGGTCTCCGCAATTTCATCAAGTAACGGTATGGTGGTCAACTCCCTCCAATAAACACACTCGTCGAATATCGCGCACCTGTTCACCGGCAGATGTTCCCAATTTCACTGTTCTTACTAGACCGTCTGAGTCCATGTACTTTTCTTTACCTCCACCCAGTGACCAGTTGTCGCGTTTTAGCCTTTCGTCGCCATAAGGACAACATCTCCAACCTTCAGCGACCGTTCACTATACAACCACTTTTGTCGAGCTTGAAGGGTTGGCAGGTACTCTCTTGTCCAGAGCTTCCAGTTAGTTCGCACGCTTCCAACTCGAGGTATAGCAGCCACTAATATTTCTTGGCACATGTATACCATCATTGGACCTCAAAAGTAGAAGGTCACTCGGAGTTAGCGCCAGTCTTTGCCGATTATCGCTGGTGACGGGTAAAGGCGGTTGGTTGTTGAGTATCCTTTCCGCCTCTACCAGAAATGTGCTCAAAGTTTCATCATCCGGTGCCTGTTGTTCACATAACGCCGTCAATATGTTTTGCACCGACCGTATAAGCCGTTACCAAACTCCTCCGCGGTGACTGCTGCAAGGTGGGTTGAAGTGCCATTGGGTTCCAGATGGCGATGGTGACTGCTGTAAGGTGGGTTGAAGTGCCATTGGGTTCCAGATGGCGACAGTCGGTCTTGCCGGGCGCATTTGTCTAACTGCATCAACCAGTTGCTCAACTCCTTTTGTGGACCGACAAAATTGGACCCGTTGTCGGAGAACACATTCGATGGGTTGCCTCGTCTACCCACGAATCTCTGCCAGGCCATAAGAAAGGAGTCGGTCGACATGCGGTAGTGGCGTGGCATCCAAACTATTAGGATTTCTAAAAGGGACCTATTTTAAATGTATTTTGGAAAACGCGATGCGGATTTCAGCCAAAATGGAACAGCTTTTGCCTTTGGCTGATTCCGAGGGATTTGTTAAAATTTATTTCGTTGTAATTAACCTTAATTAACTTTTTACGGAAAGTATAAATACTGCAACTTAATGGCGACGATCACTTCCACGCTCATATCAACCATGGCTCATGTTGACAATGCGGTTGCTTTTGAACCGATGGTAAAAACTGCTATTGATCGCTGGATTCTTGGAGGACCTCCGTGAATTGCAAAGAGTTACTTGTACTTCCTTCTACGTTTATTCATCAATGACAGCCGAACAACGGATACGGGAAAGTACGTTTGGTCGAAAACTGAATACCTGAGGGTTTTCCTTACTATTTCATCAAATATTGCTGTGTACATCACAGAAGGCGCGATGCAACTGCAATCAGGTAATTATGCCTCTCATTTCTGGTATATTGAACCCAATTTAGACCGCAAAATATCGATTGTCCGGCATTCGAGGAAATTCGTGCGGTCGGGAAGGAGTACCGAGTGATGAAACGTTGTCTGGTGCGCAACCATGACTTCCATGTGATTCAGCGGGGTCTGTATATAAGTAATCGTCGTTTATCTGCAGAATAGGAGGAAATGTGCACTTTGATGAACACTTAGAAGTGCTAGTGATCTAAGGGATTTTGCCACACAAAGGCTCACGGGACCCCTAGCTACGCAGACATAAGATCCATACGTCGAAGAAGGTCTCAGTCTCACGTGGTGATTCGGTGAAAGTTAGGGATGTGTTGGATAGTAAGGGAGGTGCGAGGATAGAGCTGAACGAAGGCGTCGTTCGTCACATTTATTTTGTTCCCAAGATTGTGTTGCACTGCGTCGCTAGGTTTAATGATGTTTTGTTAGCGGACGCCACACATCAGCTAAACTGTGTCGCGTACGTTCTTTGGCATGATATGCTTGTAGACGACACCGGTTTAGGTAGAAGTTTATTCTACTATCTTGCCGAATGAGAGCGGTGAGAGCTATAGATCTGCTGTGGGAGCCATAGAAGATATGTGCCCAATCTTTGCACAATGTAAGACTATAGTAGTTGATCGTAGCTCGGCTCAGTACAACGCGTTCTCAGAATACTTTCCGTCATCTAATGTGATATTTTTTTTGTCGTTTCCATCTCGTTAAGGATAGAAGAAGAAATTTAACCAGCTATCTGGTATGCCAAAGTTCGAAAAGCAGCGCATCTTTCAATGGATGCGGAACATGGTGTACTGTGATAGTCAGGTATCGTTTCGTAGATCCCAAGCCGCCGTAGAAAGTCGCAGCAGAGAAGCGGGTGTTTATTAACAACAAACTTGGTTACCATACCGAGAGTTGTGGGCAGGATATGCCGTGAGGACTAGGTTGACTTTAGGAAACCTAACTACAAACCGAGTGGAGACGGAAAATAGGCATCTGAAGACAGGCTTGTCTCCTCGGTATTCATTAGTGGATGTATTTAAGAAAGTGCTACAACGAGTAAAGTCACTGGAAGTTACGCATGGGGTTCGCCTTGCTAAAGATTCCGAGAGGGGGTATCACACAGCCAGTGGCATGCAGTCGTTTGAACCGTTGCTTATACGAGTAGCACCAATTGAGCGGAATAAACTATTAAGTAACTGGAAGTCATGTAAGATTGAACGAATTGTTCATGAGAGAGGGTTTTTCAAGATCGTGGATAGTTACGGCAAGGGCAATAAAGTAGTTACTGCAGGGGAAGCGAAGTGCGAGTTTTATTTC